TCTGGCGTGCATGAACTGAATCATGAGAAACCCACCCAGAGCAAAGCAAGTATATCTGGCGGGACTTGCCACGTCAATACCTGTAATGCGGTGTAGGGTGCCAGTGGTAGTAGGATAGTCCCAGCTGAGCGTCTTGAGCGCCCAAGCCACATCCCACATAGCGACGCCAGTAGAATGGCGGCCAAACGTCTGTGTAGACCCGCAACCAAACCCGAGAACAAACCCGAAAACCAAAAACCCAAGACACACCCAAGCAGCAAGAGGGAACGAGGATGCTTGACAGTCTGGGTTCTTTCACGCCGAGAACTCTGCCAGCGAAGCTTTGAGTACAGATAGAATCTTGGAGGCCATGGCCTCTGGTGTACGTGGAAGGCCCCCTTTCTTCTGCACTAGCCTCACTAGTGAGCGCAGCCTGTCGCCATCCTCTCCCTGCAAGTGCTTTCCTAGGTCACCCCAGCCCTTGCAAGCTTTCACGGGTTCGTAGCCCCCGAGAGCATGAAATACTGCCATCTTTTCAGATGCAGAGAGCACATGCGCATCCTCAACAGCCTCTCCCTCCGCGGAGTTGCCTTTGCCCGGAGCAGTAAACTTGGTGGATGCTGCAGGCTTGCATTTGAGACCATCGAGCTTGGCGTCCAGCTGTTCCTGCAAATCAGCCCGGATAGCCTGCACTTGTGTTTCCATGTCTTTCTGGAACTTCTCTTTCTGTAGAGCGGCCTCTCGAGCAGTCTTTTCTGCCCGCAATGTTTCAAGCTCTTGCTCAAGTCTAGTCTCCCTGCTAGACTTGCGATTCTGCTTCTTGCTTTTCCTCTTTCTCCGGTCACGGGGAGAAGGAGAAGAAGATGAAGAGCCATGTGTGGAAGCAGAAAACTCTCGCTTTCTCGAGGAATGTGAATCATGGGATCTGTGACCTTTGCTTCTGCGATGATGTTGGTCTCGCTCGTCTTTCCGGTCAACCTCGATGCGTAACACTTGCGTGCCACCATAGGGCTGCCGCCACTGCTGTTGCTGATGCGACTGATGCGACTGCCAGCCCCATGACCTTCCTTTACTGTTGGGCCAGCCCATGGCGCTGGTTGGGCACAGGAAACATGTCACCAGAATGGCCACAAGCTGGAAAGCAGCGTAGCCCGGCATCGACACCATCCTAAACCCTACGCAGGCCGGCCTAAGCCCTCTTAAGGAAAACTTTGCGGAAACGTGCACTGCAAACAAAGTCCCGCAAAAAGAAAATTTCATCATGAAACTGATCTTTCCACATGCAGAACACAAGATTCCGCAACCGGCGCCTAGAGAATTGCTGCTTGGACAGTGACATGAGCAAGCAACCAAGATCTTGCTCCCACACCTTCCGTGAGAGGGCCAGCTGCCTGTAACGGGCTAGCCTTCCCAGAAGGAAGGCCTTGAGGTCACTCTGCCCAGTATCCCAGTCCGGAGGGAACATAAAGGAGCTACGTTTGATGCCAATACATCGGCTGTCCAGATCAAAAACAATGTCAAGCCAGCGCAGCTGCCGTGAATTGGCAGTCACTTCAAAGTCGACAGAGTACATCGCAGCGACCATGGCCGAGAGGCAATCAAAGCAGAAGAGCTTTGAAATGAACATGACATCGTCAATATACCTTCTGGCAACGACAGCCTGTGCCCATGCCACGCGAGCCTGGGCACCAAAAGTAGAGTCAGGCCAATTCCGGGTCCACAGGTATTCTTGCCATGCAAGCACGTAACTTGCAGCGATGCGACTCAACAGCCCTCCAATAGGCAACCCGGAAATACGAATCACAACGGACCCCAGCTTGCATAAATCAACAAGCATGCAAGCAGCGAAACAGAGAGCCAGGTCAACGAAGTAGAAAGACTTGGACCTGGTCATGCGACAGTTGGCCTGGGGAGAGCCTCCAAGGAAACCACGCACGCGTTTGTCCCGCACAACAGTCACCGTACAACATCCATGTAGGGTCTGCACGGCCCGCATCACGTCAACGACCGACTGAATAGCAACAGCTGGTTGGACAACTTCGAAGAACTGACCAGCATCAGCAACAAGCCCATTCATGACCGGTTTTGCGTGTCCACAATAACAACATGTCACCCCCTCATTAACAACAGCAAGCTTATCGCACGAAGCAAGCAAGCCGTGTGCGGCCTTCTTGAGGCTGGCGACTTCGAACCCATGACCCCATCTACGCAAGACAAGGTCCAAGGCCCGACCAACCATACGCCAGTTATTGCGTGAAGGCCATCTGCAGTAGGCAACAATTTTCCGACAACAGCTGTGACGGAACTTGGTACAGACACGATGGCCAGTGCAATAGCACTTGGACTTAATGGTCATGTAAACGTATGGCAACCATTTGCCAGTATTGCGTAGACCAAGCCAACCATGCAAGCGCGCAGGGACCATCAACTGAAGGACACGCAGGGTCATGGCCTCTGCCATGGGCGGCTGTAAGCAGGTGAAAGCCCATGTCGTGCAACATGCAACGTAGCAATACAACAGCACGCAATAAGTCAAGCTCTCAACAAGCCACATGCGGTTCTTATCCTTGTCGTCCGCAACACGCACCACCCTGCCGACACGAGCACCATGAACATATTCATGGTATTTGTCAGCATAGGCAGCTTGACGACGTAATGCGCAACGAACACTAGGCGACCAAGAGACACATTCACGCACAACAGGCAAGCAAGGAGCAGTACGCTGTTTTCCCAATTGTGCCTGCTGCCACCACACCTTGAGAGCACTGTGTACCGCGCCTACCTTGGCACTCAAAGGCAACAGCTTCTTGGTCCGCGTGTCAACTTCAAGCTTTTGCATGCCACGCCCTTGCAAGCATGCAGCGACGACATCAGCACTGAGTCCTTGCACGTCACTCATACAGAACATCCCAGCAAAGCGAGCCTGCGACAAATCGTCACGCAACCTCGGTGGCTTGCCCACAACAACCCGTGTTTTACGCAAAACCCATGAGACAACTTCACGCGGCCATTTCGTTGAAGACCATGCGGCATCTCTCACAAGCTGGCGGCAAGGAGCCACAAGGCAGGGCTCTGGAACACGCACCACAAGCAAACGTTGCGTAGGCAAGCCTTCAAAGCGTAAGCAACGTGCGGCACGTAACAACACTTGTTTGCGCCTGGCAGGCACCACAACCAAGCGACCAAGCATGCTGAGCTCAACGCCAACAGAGCAGCATGACCACGAGGCCCGCAATCTGGCCCAGTCAACAACAGCCCCTTTGCCAGAAAGCCAGAGAACCATCAATCTCCGGCACGCCTTATCGTAAATATTGATCGGACCAAGCTGGTCGAGAAGCAACATGGCCCTTTGCATCGCACGATAGGCGTCAGTAAAGCACATTGCCCACGCGTTGGGGGCCACAACAGCAGCAATTTGCTCTCGCGCCTTGCTTTCATGAAGCCGGAGCTGCTTCGCAGTTTCACGATCAAGCGCTACGGAGCCAGGCGGTTTAGACCAGACAGGGTTCACGGAGGACTTCACTGGGCAACGACGCCAAGGCGGAGGCCTGCGCCGAACTTTCACACGACCTATATGGTGCGACGCATGTGTAGTATGAACCACGTTGGCATTCGGACTCAACATCTTGATAGCAACACATTCCCGAGCACGGATGTCACACTCAAAGCCTTGCCGCACAGGTATCCACATGAGGCTGGCGAGTGGCACATGTCTTGCCAACCGATACCTGTGTAGGCAGGAATTTTTCACGTGAGACCTTGCACGCAAAGTCATGTGTTCAAACAACCGGCAGACCAATCCAGAAACACCCGGCCGGCCAGCTCTAGATAAACCCGCCATACCAATGTAAGAAAACCCTCTAGCAAACCATGCGTACAGGCAGTGCTGCTGACCAGCATGTTCGGCCGACAAAGTTGCACGCAGCCAAATTACAAGAGGCATCACATCAGCAGGCTTGCCCTCCAGCACTGCACGTTGGAACTGGATGTTCGCCAATGTGAGAACCTTCCTGGAGAGTGGGTGCTCTCGAAACCCTTGCAACCAAACCACAGACTTCGCGACCATGAAAGTAGCAGCCAACGTCTCCAACATGGCATCTTGCTTCCTCCAGCGCATCGTGACTGGCAGCAGAAACCCAAACACCACAAGAAGGCATCTGCTGCATCGCGTTGTAAACTCGGCATGGCCTTTGCGACGAAGCAGCACGCGCATAGTCTCCTCCCAAATCAAATGGCACAAGCGGTCCCAAATCAGAACGCAATCCTGTCGAGGCATATGGAGTCGCAACACATGAGTGTGCGAAGAAACTTCGTTAAACGGATGAAGCCACATCTCTGCAAGAAAAACCAGAAGCCCCCATCGTGTCAGGACAACTGGCCAATCTGGCCCTAAGCATGCGGCAAGAAAGTTCACGTACACGTCAGGAGTATACATGGAACTCGTTACGCTGATGCCCGTCGCCATCCGCAGTAAACGTCAAGCCGGGTGCACCAGGGACGTCCTCACACTGGACTCTTACTTTTCCATCAGGGTCTCGGCCGGGGTCTGCAGTTTGAGCGCCGAACTGCTGTGCACTACCCCGCTTGCCCTTGCGAGCATAAAACCCTGGGCTTTCGAGCGGATGCGTTCAAATTTGGAGGATACCAACACAAGCATCACAAGGCGCACTCAGCTGGCTGTTGCAGGTCAGCTTCACATCACGCCAGGCCTGTATTTAGCCTCTTCTTGAATTTAGTACTCACGAGTCGGAATGAAACGACTACGTAACAACGAAGTTCCGGGGCAAGGATTGGGAGCAATAACATACAGTCGTCTGGCGATAGCACTGGCTGCCTCACCACTTCTGGCGTGCATGAACTGAATCATGA